TTTTTTTTACCTTTATGGGGGGGGGCTCTGTGTGGGGGAAAGCATATGTATACCAGTAACTTCCAAGAATATCAGGCCCCCTGGAGTTGGATTTACAAATGGTTGTGAGCTGCCCAAGTAGATGTGGATGGTGGGAACCAAACTCGGGTCTTCTGAAAGAACAGTAAGTGCTGTTATAACCGCTGAGCCATTTCTCCAGTCCCTCTTATACATCTTTTTGTAGCTTAGACTCTTGGTGATATATTTAAACTTCGTGGTTCTGTCCTCACTTTTTATTTCCATTTTGGCACAATTCTTTTTTTTTTTTTTTTGGCTGGCCTGAACTCACTATGTAGACCAGACTAGCCTTGAACTCACAGACATCTGCCTGCCTCTGCCTCCCAAGTGCTGGGATCGAAGGCGTGTGCCGCCATGCCTGACTTTTTTTTTTTTTTACACTTCTTTAGGAAATAACTACCATCTAAACTCTTAAAGCATTTCCCTTTTTTCTTTTCTTTTTTTTTTGATGGATAGAAAGGCAAAATTTTAGTTTCTGTTAGCTTTGATCAAATCCATATATATATAAAACCTATAGCTATGATTGTCAAATATATTTGCAGTGGAAGGTCTGCTTACCAGAAGTGTTTGAGTTCCTGATAATGGCTAGAGGAGAAACTAACAAGGCAGGAGAAATTGTCATATCTTCCTATTGTACCCTCTTGTATCTCTGCCAGCTGGTCATGCTGTGGCCTATCACTCATATGCCAGTCAGAGCCTATTCCATTGAGTAGCCAATCAACTATTGCTACAATGTTTTCACAAAATAATGGAAACCTTCCCTGCTAAGCTTATTTCTAGTCTTAAAATCCTATATTCATAAGGTAACAAAATGAGATGCCTGGGTGCTAGAGACAAGGCTCAGTGGTTAATGAGCACTGGCTGCTCTTACAGAAGATCCAGGTTCAGTTCTCAGTACTCTCATTGTGGCTAACAAACTGGCTGTAATTTAAGTTGCAGGGGATCCAACACCCTCTTCTGGCCTCCACAGGCATTGCACTCATGGATACACATATACATGTAGGGAACACATATGCACATAAAAATAATTTTTATTTAAGAGATGCAGCTGGTTGTGGTGGTGCATGCCTTTAATCTCAGTGCTCAGGAGGCAGGGGCAGGCAGATCTCTGTGAGTTCAAAGCTAGCCTGGTATACATAGCCCCACCTGGCCTATGGAACTCACTATGACCAAGCTGACCTTGAACTCACAGAGATCCGCCTGCCTCTGCCTTCTGTGTGTGACATTAAGTAGTTCTTAAGGCAAAACCAGTATTGCTGAAGACCTGAGACTTGATAGACAAAGTGGAAAACTTAGATCTCAAAAACAAGAAGCCTATTCTGATCTCTAAGCAGGTACTAACAGTTTGGGTTTAAAATAACTTTTTATTTTTTATTTTATTTTTATTTTCATTTTTTGGTCTTTTTGAGACAGGGTCTCCCTGTAGCCCCAGCTGTCCTGGAACTCACTATGTAGACCAGGCTGGCCTTGAACTCACAGAGAGTGCTGGGATCAAAGGCACATGCCACCACACCCAGCCTGAATGAAACTTTTTAAAAAGAGGATTGATCATAGGCAGCCATTACCTTAATGACACAATTGTAAGTTAAAAGTTATCTTCAAAAGTAAGCTATCAGAGCTGGGCGTGGTGGTATATGCCTTAAATTCCAGCACAAGGGAGGCAGAGGCGGTGGATTTCTGTGAGTTTGAGGCCAGCCTGGTCTACATAGGGAGTTCCAAGCCAGCTGGGGCTCCAGGGACACCCTGCCTCAAAAAGACCGGAAAAAAAAGTAAGATATCAGATATATTTTTTTCATTTTCTAATATTTAATAGAATAGCCCTTTAAAAAAAATAAAACATATGGGGCTGGAGAGCTGGCCAGGTGGTTAAGAGCACTGACTGCTCTTGCAGAGGACCCAGGTTCAATTCCCAGCACCACATAGCAACTATGAACTGTCCTTAACTCCAGTTCCAGGGGAATCTGACACCCTCTTCTGACCTTTGTGGCACTGCACAACAAGGGTGCACTCACATACATGCAGGCAATACATTCATACACATTAAATAAAAATGATAAATAATTTTTTTAAAGATACATTTTTTAAATATAGATCTTAAGCACAGGGATTATTAGAAAGAGAGCCCTTTAGGGAAAGTATATATCAGACATACCCAAGTGTAGATATGAGCATCTCAAATGAGAACGTCAATTAAGTACCTTTAAAATGGATATATATAGGATTTTGGTGTCTTTCAGGTTAAGAAATCCCCACCTCCTTTTTTTAAATTAATCTATTTTGACTTTCATGTATATTGTATTCCAGTTATTCCCCTCCACTCCTGTTATTTGCCTTAAACTCCTGTCAGCCCTCTTTCTTCCTTATAAATCTTCCTTTATTCCTTAGTTTTTAAATTTTGTTTAGTGTCCTACAGAGTTTCAGCAGGATCATCTGTGTGACCATGGGTTTGTAACTAACTGTCTGGGCCTGATAGGCTCACCAACGGGAATAGAGTTGGTTACTGTGCCTCCCCCTCTTCCAGTATCTGTTAGTTGCTAGTAGATCAGCATTAAGTGGTGGGGTTCCATGAGCCCCCTGCCCCATCCATAGTTAGGAGCGTTTGGCCAGAAGAGGCTATCAGATCCCTTGGAACTGAAGTTACTGGCAGTTGTGAATTGGTGGTTATGAGCTGCCCAGTGTGGGTGCTGGGAACCAACCAAACCTGGGTCCTCAGGAGCAGAAAGTGGTCTTAACTGCTGAGCCATCATTCCAGTCCCCCACGATGCTCCCTGCCTCTTTTAAAATAATGTACTTTACAATAAAGTTAAGTTTAAAACCATTTGTAAATAAAGTTATTAGGTAGATTTATGAAGGGTATTAATTAGATTTGGGAAAAAGAGGGGAGTGCTAGAAACCAAGTTAGACATTATTTTCTTTCTAAACACAATTTATTTTTTGTCTTTAACAAGATGTCTTTAGAAAAACATACTGTCATCGCCTGGGTTGAAATTCAGTGCCCAGAGCCACCAGGAGCTTCAGCTCACCTCCCACTGCCACGGTGTGGGAGGGTGAAACCCAGGCCCCAACAAGCAAAAAAGGAAAAACATACTGACTCTGTAAGCAAGTCTGGCTTTATTAGTGTTGCCTCCAGCTTCTTGATTGTCCGTTGACATTTTCCAATAAAAATGATGTTTATTTACTAGCACATTTAATTACCCTTAATGAGTCTTACTCAACTTTTTTTGCAAGGGGGCATATAAGATAGGGTCTCCCTGTAACCCCAGCTGGCCTGGAACTGCTATGTAGACTAGGCTGGCCTTGATCTCATAGAGATCTGCCTGCCTCTGCCTCCAAAGTGCTGAGATTAAAGGCTTGTGCCACCATGCCCAACCTATTCAACTTAATTAAGCATGGCCTATAAGAAACCAGGTACAGTGCCGAGTGTGGTGGCTCACACCTTGAATCCCAGCACTTGGGAGGCAGAGGCAGACTGATCTCTTAGTTTGAGGTCAGCCTGGTCTACATAGTTCCAAGACAACCTCACTACAAGGAGACCCTGTCTCAAAAAGACGAGAGAGAGAGAGAGAGAGAGAGAGAGAGAGAGAGAGAGAGGGAGAGAGAGAGGAGAGAGAGAAAGAGAGAGAGGAGAGAGAGAGAGAAAAAGAAACCAGGTACATGCTTCCACATGTCTTTATAAAATACTTTATTTTTATGTGTATGAATGTTTTGCCTGCAAGTATGTAAGTGCACCTTGTGTGTGTAGTACCCACAGAGGCCAGAAGACAGTATCAGATCTCTTGGAACTGGAGCTACAGGTGGTTGTTAGCTGCTATGTGGGTGCTAGAAACTGAACCCGGGTCCTCTTCAAGAGCCACTAGTGCTCTTAACGACTGAGCCATTTCTCCAGTCCCTCCAAATGTCTTTTAGTGCATTCACAGAGTGTATTCAGGTCCCCAATACATGTGGTAAGGGTTAAATTGTATCCGCCAAGCCATCTTTTTAAAGATTCTTCATGCAAAGAATGCATTGGGTTCTTATCAGATCAGATGACCATGTGAAAATATTCCAGACTGTGAAGGAAGATATTATATGGCTGACATTACCTGTTTGGGAAAGTCACGTTATTCTTTAGAGTTAGGTTATGAAGGAATCCCTCTCAATAGCAGTTCCCAGGTAGCAGGAAAGGTAGATTCTTTTTTTTCTCCAGCATTTCTAAGATTGTATAGTTTCAGGACACTCACTACTCTTTTTTAAATATTTTTATTTATTTTTTAATTTTATGTGTATGTATGTATTGTCTGCATGTAGGTAAGTGCACCCGTGTCGTGCAATGCCCACAGAGGTCAGAGAGGCTGTCAGATCCCCTGGAACTGGAGTTATGGACAGTTGTTAGCTGCCATGTGGGTGCTGGGATGCGAACCCGGGTCTTCTACAAGAACAGCCAGTGTTCTTAACTGCTGAGCCATCTCTCCAGCCCCAGTACTCTCTCTTAAGTAATCAAAAGTTGTCATGGAATTTATTTTTTAATTTTAATTTTTGTTTTTTTATTTTATTTATTTTTGGGGACAGGGTTGCCCTGTTGCCCCTGCTGGCCCAGAACTGTATAGAACACAGTCTCACAGAGCTCCACCTGCCCCTGCCTCTGCCTCCTGAGTGTTGGGATGAAAGGCCTGCACTATCATACTCAGCCTTGTTATGGATTTCTAGAGAGTCTCATTGTAACAGAAATCATCAACACAAGGGATAGTCCCATTCTGCTTTTTCTTTACCAGATATCTCCAATCTACTGTCAGATTTGCTGTATGAAAGAATATTTGTATGTATGGGAAGTAAGAATGAGGTGACTAAGACATGACTTGAACACAGGTGAACGATATCATCATGTCAACTTATGAATTAAATCTAAATCTCCAGTACTCTGTGGTTCACTCTTTCTCCTGAAATTATATGTGGGCTCTTTTTAGGAGTCAGTGACCTTTGAGGATGTGGCTGTGAACTTCACCCTAGAGGAATGGGCTATGCTGAACCCGTCCCAAAAGGACCTCTACAAAGATGTGATGCAGGAAACCTTGAGGAACCTGTCCTCTATAGGTGAAAATGTTATTATTTTCTTACTTAGTCAATGAAAGAACAAGTGTTTCTTGCTCTTCAATCCTGCTGCATGAATTCGATTATGGAATAGGAACATTTGGGTGAATATATCAGGTGGTACCATGTTATACCATCAATTTAGCTAAATCTATTTTTTTGTAATGCAATAATTCATAGTGATTTCTCTGGGTCTGTATTTTAGGAAACAAATGGGGAAACCAGAGCATTGAAAATGAGTATGAAAATCTGTGGCGAAAACTAAGGTAATTTGTACCCCAGCAGACACCAGTGTTCCTCAAGACTCTCACTGTGATAGGTCATTTTACAAAGAAGTAATAGATGTAAATGCATCCAGCTTCAAACTGTTTTAAATTTGATGACTCTCCTCCAAAACTGCATACACATTCAACAGTCAGAAACATCCCAAGTAGTCCCATATTGGTAACAGCTAGAACATCATACTTTTTCATGGTTCATAAATACGAACTTTACTCTGTACATAATTTATTAAAAATGTTCCATTGATTTATCTCCAAGCTTTGAGTATGCATTGTATATGAAACACAAATAAAATCTCTTTTTAGAATGGGACCAATTGTCCAGATATCTCCTTATGGATATGCAAATATTTCAAAATGCAACATGCAACATGCAACTCAATATTTCATGGAGATAGTATAACACAACCATGCATGAATACCACTGTTTTAATTGTAGCTGTCCTGAAACCATGTTGCAGAGCATTCAGTCCAGACATTTTCAAAAATTCTTGCAGGTCCTACAACCAACATTTCTAGTATTAAATAATTGATAAAGAAAACTTTAGTAATGTAACTTTCTTTTTTTGCAGCAGCCAACTGGTAGAGAAACTCCGTGAATGTAAAAAAGGTCATCGGTGTGAAGAAATCTTCAGCTGGACTCCACAGCATGCTGTGAACCAGAAATCTTGTCCAGGAATTCCCACATATGAAAGCTATGTGTATGGAGAAGTAGTTTTTGACCATTTATCTCTAAATGTCTCCCTTCATTCTCACTCAGGACACAAACCATATGAAGATCAAGAATATGGAAAGGAGTATAAAGATAAGGAATTTGGGAACACCTCAAGTTCTTACACAACCTTCCAGAAGCATAAAAGGACTCACACTGATGAGAAACCTGAAGCTAATCACTGTGTTGAAGACTTTAAGTGTCTCAAATCTGGTCAAAATGATGAAAAACACCATGAGTGTAAGCAATGTGGGAAAGTTTTCATTTCTTCCAGTTCTTTTCGAAGACATGAAGAATATCACAGCCGAGAGAAATCTTATATTTGTAAGCAATGTGGGAAAGCCTTCCCTTTTCCCAGTTCCCTACAAATACATGAAAGAACTCACACTGGTGAGAAACCCTATATGTGTAAACAGTGTGGGAAAACCTTTGCTCGGTCCAGTTCCCTTCTAACGCATGAAAGAATTCACACTGGAGAGAAGCCATACGTGTGTAAGCAATGTGGGAAAGCTTTCACTGATCGTAGTTCACTTCGATTCCATGAAATGATGCACAGTGGAGAGAAACCCTATAAATGTACGAAATGTGGGAAGGCTTTCGCTTCTTCTGGTGCCTTTCGAAAACATGAACGGACACATACTGGAGAGCAACTTTATGTGTGTTTGCAGTGTGAGAAAGTTTTCAGTTCTGAAAGTGCTTTTCGAACACATAAAATAATTCATTCTGGAGAATGTGTATGTAAGCAATGTGGCAAAGCCTTTACAAGTCACAGTTCTGTCAAATACCATGAACTGATGCATAGTGGAGAGAAACCCTATGTATGTAAGCAATGTGGGAAAACCTTTAGGTCTCCTAAACAAGTTCAGATCCATAAGCGAACTCACACTGGAGAAAAACCTTATGTATGTAAGGAATGTGGGAAAGCCTTTACTTTTCTTGGTTCCCTTCAATACCATGAATTGATTCATACTGGAGAGAAACCTTATCTATGTAAGCAATGTGGAAAAGCATTCAGGTCTTCTCGTCAGGTTCAAATACATGAACGAACTCATAGTGGAGAGAAACCGTATGTATGTAAGCAATGTGGGAAAGCCTTCTTTTCTTTGTATCATTTAAGAAGACATGAAGTAATTCATAGTGGCCTGAACCCCTATGTTTGTAAGCAATGTGGGAAAGCGTTCAGTTGGTTCAGTACCTTTCACAGTCATAAACAGACTCACACTGGAGAAAAACCCTATGTATGCAAGCAATGTGGAAAAGCCTTCTGTAGTCGTATATCATGGAGAAGACATGAAAAAGCTCATACTACAGTGAAGCCTTATGCGTGTGTGCAATGTGGAAAAGCCTTCCGCTCTCCTAGTTACCTCAAAATACATGAAAGAATTCATACTGGAGAAAAACCCTTTATATGTTCACAGTGTGGGAAGCCCTTCCGTTCTTTTCGTTATGTCAAGTCACATGAAAGAAGTCACACTGGAGAGAAACCTTTTGTATGTACACAATGTGGGAAAGCTTTCAGCTATTACAGTTCTTTTCACAGGCATAGAAGAAGTCACCAAACAGAAACCTTAAATTCAGAATTTGAAAAGGCTTCATCATTACCTTCATAGCATTCACAAGAATGTATATGGAGAGAACTTCTATTGAAGTTAAGAAACAATATATTTGGGCCAAACTTAGTGGCACATGCCCTTAAGCCCCACACTTGAGAGGCAGAGGATGGGGGTCTCTGTGAATTTGAGGCCAGCCTCGTCTATATAGTGACTTCTGGGCCAGCCAGGGCTACATGGTGAGACTGTCTGAGAAAAATAAGAGAAAAAAGATGTTTGAATAGGAAGCAAGTTTGACTAGAAGAAATGTCCAGATACCTTCCTTTCACAAACATGTACAAATGCATATGTTCATTCCCATAAATGTTAGTAATATAAAGGACTCAGTATAATTTTTTTCTTTTGAGAATGCTCCAGAAAATACACAATCTGACAGAAAATTTGTAAATATATGGAACTTTTTGAAAATTTTCAGGAATTTTTTTTTGTTTTCAACAGTCTTCTATATCTCAAGCTGGTCTTGAAGCAGTAATCCTCCTGTTTCAACTTCTAGAAGGTTTGAATGAAGGATATCTGCTTCCACATCCAGCATCAGTAACTCATTCTTAAAAGTACATCTCCTGGCCCAGCACTTGGGAGGCAGAGGCAGGCGGATCTCTGAGTTTAAGGCCAGCCTTGTCTACATAGCAAGTTCCAGGCCAGCTGGGGCTATAGGAAAACCCTGTCTCAAAAAGACACAAAAACAAAAAGTACATCTCTGGACTCCATATTTCAAATTTTTACTCTAGAAAATTACCTTTTAGCTCAATATGTGAGGTCGAAGAATTACTTAAACCCAGGAGATGGAGACCAGTAACTCCTATATCTGGAAAAAAATTAAAAAGAAAAAGAAAGTGCATTATTGTGGCATAAGTAAGGTTTGCTAAAGCAGTGCTGTATACAAGTTTAATGGGTGATGTCTTTTTGTACCAAGTCAGATAGCTGTTTTGTCTTTGATTTTAAATTCTGTATACTCATTGGTGAGTTGATAGTTACTTATAATATGCCAATAGGCATAAAAAGTGTCTTATTTTAAAAGCATTATGATTAAAGGGTCATTGAAAAATTACTTTTTGTGAATATTGAGATTTTCCCTCTTGGTTCATATAGCAGGTTCTTACCATTTTGGTAGACTCTGATTCTCTTTGATGTACAAGAAGTATTTTTGTATTGATTTTGCATTGTGCATTTTTGGTGTATGTTTATTTTTCTCTCTGATGTTTTCTTCTAACATTTGCCTCCATGTTCTTTTAGAATTTAAACTATTTTCAAGCCACTTGTAGATTAACAAATGTTAACTGTTTTGTCTACTCAGAGGGTAGGCATAAGTGTCACTTTATAATCATAGGTAGATCACATTTACAAGTTTTCCTAGCTTTTTTCATGTCATAAGCCATTATTATTGTATACATCTAATTATGATTTTTTTCTTATGTAAATTTTGCTTTTCACGCTTGCATTGTTATATATTTTATTTTGATTGTAATTTCTCCTGCAGTCATTATACTAGAAGATATGCTGGTATTAGTGGCCTCTTGCCAAAGACCATGAGTACCATAGGTGCAATAAATTGTACCGGGTCTGCCCATACACAGTAAACAAGCGTGTGTCTCATAAGTAAGAGCATTCCATGGACATTTGAGCAGGATTGGTCTTTAATTTGCCAAGATTTATGGGGATTGAACTAGATGTATCTGTGTTGGGTGTACTGAGATATGAATATAATTCTGTATTTGGTGATCATAGAAGTTACCTAGAAGACTGAAAATAATGCCGTGAAAATTTTAATTCATGAGAATCACTAGCCACAGAGTGGGTACTTCACTCATTGTAATGGTTCAGAATGTTTTATGCTTTGTCAGTTTTACAGACAACCTTATATGGTGCCCTTTTCTTTTGTCATAGTCATTAAGGTACAGTGCACAATGGTAGAGGACATATGCCTTCAACAGTAGAAGGTTTGACCTTGGTCTGTGAGGTGAACAGCAGCACTCTGGATCACTTTTTGCCTTCCAGAGTTACTATGACATCACTGAAGTATTTCCTCCAATATATTGGTTGCTGTTCCCCACAAATACAGATGTTCCTAATTTCCCATTTAGTTGTGTTCTAATAAACACATGGTAAAGAGGAGATACAGTGAGAAATGCACTTCAACCTAGTGAACATTAAAACCTTAGAGTAGTTTACTGTCAGCATGTTCAGGCCTCATATTAGCATCAGTGGGGAAAGCCATCTCTGCATATTATTTCTTCCTTTAAATCTGTCTCCACTTGTGTATTATTTATGCATAGAAATGAGTTCAGGTATGTGTATTGATGTACTTGAATTATATCTCTTGTCCCTTTCCCTCTGCCCATTGGTCCTCCTCCTCTGAAGTAGACTGCCTTATAGTTTCATGTTTCTCTCTTTTGTTAAAATCTATGAAAAAAAGTTTTTGGCTTTCTGAGACTGCTTTCCTTGACAAAATGTGGTGATCACCAGCTCCATGCGTTTTCATATGCCATGGTGTGTTTTGGAGGTCAGAAGACACGTTTCAAGAGTCAGTTCTTGCCTTTATTGAGACGGGGGCTCTTTATTTCTGCCATGTTGCGCAGTCCAGGCAGCTCTGGGTTTATTATCTGAGTTCCAAGGATCCAACTCAGGTCAACAGGTTTGCTCAGCAAATGCTTTTACCTGTTAAGCCATGTCCCAAGCCCTTTAAGTAATAAATTTTATGGCGCCAAGTGTTGTTTCCTGAGCCTGGACATTTTGGGTCAAGCACTGGGAGTTAGACTTCAAATAAATATTTGTATAAGACATTACAGATCAGTGGATCAGGTTCCAGTTGGTCAAGGTCAAATTACTAGAGTATATTCATGTTCATTTTATTTTTCCCCCTCTACATTATTCATTCCATCCCTTTTGCCAAAGTGCCATTATTTTTTTTTTTTTTTTTTTTTTTTTTCTTTTTGAGACAGAGTCTCTCTGTAGCCCCAGCTGCCTGGAACTCACTATATGGACGAGGCTGGCCTTGAATTCACAGAGATCCACCTGCCTCTGCCTCTCCAGTGCTGGGATTAAAGACGTGCACCACCACACCTGGCCAATACACATAATTTTCAAAAAATTCTTCCGTTGAAGCTGGCCTTGAGTTTTTCTGAGTTCCAGGCCCTTACCAATCCTGACCCTGTTGAGAGGTTTATGTCCATTTCTCATCTATCTCTTTTTCAAATTTATTTTTATTATGTATATTAGTGTATTGCCTGCATGTTACAAAAGTGTACACACATGTCATGCAATGCCCACGGAGGTCATTAGAGGGCATCAGATCCCCTGGAACTGGAGTTACAAATGGTTATTAGCTGCCATCTGAGTATTGGGAACCGAACCTGGGTCCTCTGCAAGAGCAGCCAGTGCTCTTAACTGCTGAGCCATCTCTCCAGCCCCTCTTTCTCCTTTCTCTCTTTTTAAAAACATTTATTTTGTGTGTGCATCTGGAGGTCAAGACAACTGTAGGAGTTAGATCCCTCCATCTATCATGTGGGCCACAGGGATCAAACTCGGGTCATCACTTGGGAGCAAGTGACTTTATCTGCTAAGCCATCTTCCTAACCCCTAGTCATATCCTTATGGTAGAAGTGGAATCTTTTTCATATAGAGATTCAATGGTTTAGACACTCGGGTCAAAACTTTGATCTGTGACTCAGTTACATTGAAGCTCCACAATAAGTACTGTGACAAGTTGTGGAGAATACAGAGAACAAAAATGCCCTTGATATGCATCCAGGACAATTTCAAATGACTGATTTGCATCAAGGATAGAAGAGAGGTTCAGGAACATTCAATCATTCAATCTGTGTCCACTTAGGGTTTTGTGGGGGGGGGGGGTGGTTGGGTTTTTTTTTTTTTTATGTGTATGAGTGTATTGCCTGCATGTATTTGAGTGCACCCATGTTGTGCAGTGCAACGGAGGTCAGAGGAGGGCTTCGGATTCTCCTGGGACTGGAGTTTAGGACAGTTCATAGCTGCCATGTGGGTGCTAGGAATCGAACCTGGGTCCGCTGCAAGAGCAGTCAGTGCTCGTAACTGCTGAGCCATCATCACTCCAGCCCGTTGTTTTTAAATGTAGTTAATGTAGTTGTAGTTCTATGATACTTAAGATTTTGCTAGAGACACTAAAAAGAAAAAAAGACCCTCTACCTTCCAAATGCTTTGTCCACAAGCACAAGGGAATCCCCTGTAGCACCCTCAATCAGAAGGAGAGACACTGATGGAAATATTGGCCTTATCATTTCTAAACAGTCTAATCCAGGAATTCATCAAAATCATACCTCCAGCAGCATCTGCTTTATCTGAATGCCACATCAAGAGTGATGTAACATTGCATGGGCCCTGGGTGATAATGATCCCTAGGGGGTTTCAGGACTTCTGGCTTCACTGTACAGGAGTGTGGATTTACTTGGAACTGTTCAGGGTGTCCCTGTGGTCAGAGGGAGGCTGGGAGGCTGACATGCAAAACTGTACCTCTTGAACAACATTCCTCCAGCAGAACACTTCTTCTGCAGTTCCAGAACCCTTTATAATGTAAATTAAGAGGCTTCAAAAATTAATGGCAATCTTGGGGGCTGGAGAGATGGCTCAGCAGTTAACAGCACTGACTGCTCTTGCAGAGAATCTAGGTTCGATTCCCAGCACCCACATGATGGCTAACAATCATCCATAATTCCGGTTCCAGAGGATCTGATGCCTTCTTTTGATCTCCATGGGCATTGCATGACACTGGTGCATTTACACACATGTAATACACATAAAAATAATTTTTAGAAATCAATGGCAATCTGCATTTTCTTTATCCCCAGAGCAAGAGCAGTCAGTGCTCTTAACTGCTGAGCCAGCTCTCCAGCTGTTAATTGTAACATTGCATTATAGTTTTCTCATCCACACAACTTTTATGAATCTGGCTACATGCCAAAACCTCATGTACCTAAATTTTAGATTAGAACTGGTGTTATAGACAGTTGTTAACCACATGTGGGTGCTAGGATTCAAACCTGGGTCTTCTGCAAGAACAGCCAGTACTCTTAACCACTGAGCCATTTCTCTAACCCCTAGATTTTAATGAGAATGCCCCTTTCCTCATTAAGTTAACGAATTGGTTTAGACTGTGCAGCTAAACCTCAACTAATGAACAGCCAAGCTCTCTGTCACCTTAGGTATAGAAGGAGAGACCATCTCAACAAAGCGTGTTTGCTGGATTCATAGCTTGACACCCTTCTGCAGAATGAAAACTTTTACCTTGCTAAAAATGCTTTGGATTCTGTGGTTATTTTCTTGGCACCCCAGATCCATTTCTAACACATGACTTTTTATTCACGTGAAACTAGATAGGAAGTATTTTTGCATTGGTAAAAGAATAATTCGTATTTTAGGTTCTACAAATAGGGTCATTTTCCTTCTCTAAAAGTAAACAGAAATACTGTAGAACTTTTCTTTGATTTTACATCAATTCTTTGGATTAGCACTTGTCGCATTTCAGTCTTTAATACTGGTGTGGAAAAGATCAAAATAACCCGAACCAGCTAACAGAAAAGGCATCACAGATTAGAATCTGTCAACCTGAGTCAGAAAAGGAGAGTAGTAATATTCCCCTTGGCACTTCTTGGCTACTGGCCTCCGTGAATGTTGGATCCCAGCTTCTCAGAACAATTATAGCGGTAATATCAGTGAGTAATTACAGTGTGCTCAAAGGCAGAAGGACCACATGTTATCATGAGAGCTTTCTTCCTTTCTACAGCAGTAACTTTGGTTGCCATAGGACTATTTTCTGCACATTGTTTTCCTTTTGGCATGCAAGGTTTTACATGATTTTTCCTGGGTGCCTATTTCTGCTCACCTCAGATGGACACAACTGTGACAGACCAAAGAAGTGATTCCACCCAACACTAGCCATTTTTTCTTTTTTTTTGAGAGACAGGGTTTCCCTGTACCCCAGCCTGTAGATCAGGCTGGCCTTGAACTCGCAGAGATCCACCTGCCTCTGCCTCCCAAGTGCTGGGATTAAAGGCTTGCGCCACCACGCCCAGCAACTAGCCATTGTTTTTATGGTGTTTATGCAGTCCTTAATGTATCTAGCCAGGCAGCTGTAAAGGCAGGGGCAGATCGTGAAGGCCAGGAGAAGAATAAGTAGTGGTCCTGCCATTGCCGTGAGCAGGGTAGTGAGCCAAGGAGACCAGGAGAATAGTGACTGTTACCAGTTAGAGGATGCCTGTCTTTTAACTTTTGTCTAATCATGGCTAGGGTTTTCCTAAATGAACCTGAATTATTGGCATAAAAGCAGCAAGTCTCACCTAAGGCTATGCATGAGCCATCTTCCTTTAGGAACAGTAGGTCCAGCCCTCTTCTGTTCTGTAGCACCATTTCAGCTAGGGAGTTGACCTGTCTCTCCAACTGCCTGCACCTTGACTGGTGCCTGGGAGATGTAAAGACAAGAGTAGGTAGCATTACAAGTTCTAGACAGGGAACCAGAAAAGGTCAAATGTCTAAATCAAAGTCCATTAGAGTTTTTTGTTGAGAACTTCCAAAAGCATCCTTTTAATGGAGTCCTGTAGATATCTGATGTCTCCATATATCTGAGAGCTTAGAAGCCTAAAATTTTCATTACCCATGGCTAGGGCAGCGGCACCCAAGGCAGCAAAATCTGCAATGTCTCTTCCCACAAGGATGGTGGTGGAACTTCTCTTGGCCCTTGAGAGACTTGAGTTAAGGTGGAAGTGTTCCTGCCCTTCCTCTCTGCTATAGAGATGAACCTGGGGGAGAACATGGATTAGTATGCACATGTCTCCCTGATGAGAGTCCCATTTTAGCTGTTCTGCAGTCACACACTTAGTAAAAGCAAAGGTGATGCCCCACCAGTTGATTTCAGGGGCTTGAAAGAAAATCCTGGTTTCCTGAGAATTGTTAGTACTGATTTTGTGACTACATTGTTGGGCATATGGAGAGGTCTCCAGTTGGAAGGCTAAGGATATCAAACAAGGCCCCTTACCCTGGAGGCTCCCCAAAGTCAACCTGGCCTTTACCCAGCTACAAGAAGGGTTAAACTGCCATGAGTTCATAGGAAGGGTAAATGATAAATTTGCTGATATCCCCATGTAGTAAGGGGGTCTTGGGTCCAAGCACATCCAACAACCATCCCCAAGCATTAGGGAAGTCTGATCCAGGTATGGACCACCCTGACAGTGTTTAGTTCAGGGACTCCAACAGAGAGAATTTATGGTCTTGACCAGTGTGGTGGTTTGAATGAAAATGTCCCCCATAGTCTCCAAGTATTTGGACATTTTGTCCCCAGATGATGACACTGGTTTGGGAGGTATTAGAAGGTGTGGCTCTCTTGGAGTAAGCATGTCACTGGTGGTGGGCTTAGAGAGTTCTTAAGCCTTCCCAGAGCTCTAGTGGCTCTCTTGCTTCCTGTGCCTGTGTGATGATGTGAGAGCTTAGCTTCTGCTGCTCCTGCTCCAGCCACCTCTGCCACCATGCCTCCTTGCCTTGACAGACTCTAATTGCCCTGGAACCATAAGCTCAAATAAACTCTTCTTTCTACAAATTGCTTGGGTCAGTGTTTCTATCACAGCAACAGAAAAGTGACTAATATAGTAATTGGTAGCAGCAACAGAAAACGGACCAATACAACCAGTTAAACTTATGGGGCTATGTGCTACTCTAATATAACACCCCCCCCCAAAGAAAT